GTGGGGAACTCTGTGCCACCACTTTCCACAGAGGAAATTTACTTGTTAATCTGATCCGTACACTTTGCATAGCAGTCTGTCAAAACGATTTCTTGAGAAATACTGGAAGTTTCAAAGAGATCTTCGTACTAGAAATATTCTAAAATGTGAAGAATACAACCCACGTTACAATATGACCCCAGGGTGTACGGATAGGGTTAAGCTTTCCTGTCGGGGAAGATTAAATCAACTGACACATAAAGACAGGTAATAAGAGCCCTAGAGGTGATGATAATTTTTGAAATTGAAATACATATTATGTACTATACAGCATTCAATTGGTCACTTTAAAGGACAAGCAGGCTAACCCAGATTTCGGGGTTTTCCAGAAATCTTTACTTACACCAAAAGTGGGCACTGCCCTACCTATAGGATAAGTTTGGTTTCTTTGGTGTGGATATTTGTTTGGTAATAGAGAAAACTCTCCTTGTCTTTTAAAGAAACTGAACGAGGGGCAAAAACTTTACCTTAGATTTTCTCAAAATAGCATTTTTGGGATAGCCCCCTTGTGCTTAAAAGCAACCAATTTCAAAACAGACAAAATAGATCTATAATTACAAAACAATATAACTCCTTCTAAACTCCAAAGAAGAGTCTGTATTTGTAATCACTACACACCACACACCTTGAACAAAACTACTCACCTTTCTCGCTTTTGTACTCATCTGGCAGCAGGTTGGCTTGCGTTCCCGCCAAAACAAAGGCCAAAATGGCAAGGATGAAAGCGTCAAAGATGAGCACGATGGCCAGGACATATCCCCACCTGAGGCTACAGGTGCCCAGCTCGTACCCGTCTGCCTGCGGGCCGCACACATGTTTGATCTCACTGTGGTCCCAGCCGGAGGGGAATACCACGCACGACAGGAACATCAGGATACCTGTGGGGATTGTTTTAATTTGTTTTAGGAAGAGTTTTGCGGCACTTGCAACACAATAAGGACATATAAGTGCCGAAGATTGGAGGACAGGAACATTAGGATACCAGCGTGGATTGTTTTAGTATGTTTTAGGAAGAGTTTTACGGCACTTGCAACACAATAAGGTCATACAAGT